ACAAAAAGTTAAAAGTTCTATATTATGTTTATTAATCCTAACTCCAAATAAAATTATTTTAAAACCACGAGTAACCATTTTTACAATGTTAAATTGAGATGAGTATTCATACTCTAAAATTTAAACTAAAAAGTTAGAACCGACAATATTTAAATGCATCATATGACAATTTGAATAGTATTAAATTGATCATTTCGTTATGACGTACAGCTAATAGTTAGAAACGACAGTTAATTCAAAAGCTCAGTTGAAAACAAAAAATCGGGCTCTATTGGCTAACAAATAAAATGTTCGGATCGAGTTCGACCTAATCCCTAATTTTTAGTGCTCGCTTCGGCATACGACTACAAAGTCTGTTTTCAGACCACATCTTCGAAAGTTCGACCCTCATCTACTACAATATAGGCGACGAGACGTGTTTACGAGGGTTTGGGTCAGCAGCTGCAGTGTGGGACAAGGCCAATCGATGAGTGAAACGTGCTCCAGGAACTCCTCGCAGGACATCTCTTCTCCGCCATATTCGTCTTGTTGTACAGAGAGGCTTCGAAGATGAGTGTAATACTTGGAAAAGCTCATTTCCCATTATTTTATGCTCCGTACCCATACGTTACAACATGCGCATAATATATTAAAGTATTGCACACACCGTGGCAGAGTAACTACAACCGCTCTCTCGACAGCGTATCGGTTCTTTCAGAAGCCAAGGAGGCGGCGGTAACGACTAACGAGAGGCTCACGACGCGTGTTCGTGACGTGTCCTTCACCACCGGTGGCGGTGGCTTTGACACGAAACCACCCCCGCCAACCGCCCACCCATGGTCACTGCTACTACACGAGTTCGAGTGCGGCTCGCTAAGGTACCGCGGTGCGATATTTTCATTTACAGCGGAAACACGTAGGTAGGTACATTATTCCCATTGCGCCGCCAATCGCGAAACAAAAGAGATTTTCACTTCTCCGCCGCCACCCCGTCACTAGCATTGTTTGATATCTGCGAGGGTTTGTTCTTTTTCTTATTCTCCACCAACCGTTCTTGTTATTATTGTTATGGCTGGCGCGTGAGTGTTGTTCGTCTTTGTCGTTGTCGGCCGTCGGAAAACAGAGTTTTTTTCCACGTTTTTGTTTTTAAATTCCGAGACGGACGCGAGTAAAGGCGACTCGACCGGGGCGCGATCATTAATTTAGGACCGTTTTTAAGTGTAGACGTCATGCGGCCAAACGGCACGTCCATTAACACGTTCGGTGGTGGTCTGGTGACGGCGGCGGCGGCGGCGGCGGGGAGTATGGGGTCCAGGATGGCGCAGGAAGGTACGCAGGATGGGACGCAGGAAGGCGTTTCGCCCCGCCGCCGCTGACGGAATTGTGCGACATAATTTTTGTTTGCGTTGTCACCGTCACCGCGTCGCAGCAATTAATTTTTCAACGAGCCAAACACACATCCGAAAACTGACAACGGATTTACTGAGTTTGCGTTGAGCGTGTGTCGGGTTCTGCGTGTGTGTACAAGTTTTGCTCATATATAATATAACATGTTGTACCATGTCTTCACGTGTACACTTATCTTGGTATTAGCCGAATGACTGTCCGGGCTTATGGAGCGTTGAACGGGCCATTCGTAAAATATTAACGAATCGCACTTACCGTGTTCAGTCTTCCGGCAGTTATGTAATAATATGTGTAACTGGATTTCAATTTTTAATGTCCTTCGACACCCAGGACGCGCGCCGTATGGAAAAGGGTCCTAAGTTTTTATGCGTCACTGTTCGCAATGTGCTTGGACTATACTCCCGACGAAAGCTACTCGATCTCGACGACCGACGAAATACTATGGATAATTTATTATTATTATTTACCAAAAAAACCTGACCTCGCCTAACCGAGGATCCCGACATTTCCTGCAAACGACGGTGACACATATATATATTTTTTTTTTCGTAAAAATAATTTATTTTTAAAATATTTCCATCCACCTAGAACCGTGTATTTTAAGGTGTAAGGTATATTGTACCTACGTTTATTTTATCGGATAAACTGCAAGAATAACTTATATTATTGCAACGTAATTAAAATAATATGTTGTTCAAAAGAATAGAAACTCTAGACGTTAATAAGGCACCTAACCAATCCTAACCAACTGAACATTTTTCCGGTCGCTGAAACTGACTTCGAACGTCAACTTATTTAAACGAAATTGTTAAATACCGGAATAATAACGGGCGGAAACTAAAAAGGAAAGACAAAAAGATGACAATTTGCCACCATTTATTTTGGTTAACACGGGTGAAAAGAGATGAATACTCGGTTTTTCCAGGTAGTAAAATACATTTTTGAATCTCGTAGAATATTACCATAACATACATAAAATGTAATTTAAAACAATTGATTACTTATGTAAATATTAAATTAAATAAAAAAAATATTATAATATATTATAATATTTATAATAGAGTTTTTCTCAAATAAAATTATAGCTCTTTTGTTTTATACATGGTTTTAAATAAGTCTCAAACAATTTTTAAAATTTGTTTGGAGATAAACCTATACAAAAAAAGTATAAAATGGCTTAACATCCAGATGAATCTAAACCATAAAAATTCAAAACGTATTTTGTTGCAAATTCGTGAATAATAATAACTATTATTATATACATATTATTTTTAAATGTTAATGAAATAATTATTGGCACTATTTGTGTGATCGTGACTTAAGATATATGGTTACAATGTCAATCACTATTTAGTTTGCACAAGCAAAAAAAAAGAGCTTTATAATATTTTAGTTATAATTTTTTTTTTCTTTAGCTCATCAGATTTACCCTAATGTATAGGGTGAAATCATCCCTCATTTTAATGAGCATCAATTTTCCGCAAGACAAAAAGCTGGGTAATTAATCAAAGCAAATTGTCCTCAGACCACAGGATTTACGTTCAATAAGAGTTCCGTTTACGGTTGTGATGGTGGACGTTCTAATTTTTTTTCATTTAGGTACTTTTTCTTTTGTTTTTGTTTTCAAGATAAACGGAAAAACATGTTCCTCCTTTCATTACTGTTTGTTACTTTCAGTATTACTATAAATTATTTTTTATATATAGGTATGTGTGTATATATATAACATATAACATTCGATAAATATTTTTATTTATTTATTTTTAAAAAGCTTTCCAGCTCTAACAGTTTTAATTTATTTAGTAGAAAGTTTAAAGAAACCTTGTAACTTAAATCCTCAAAAAGTTTAGATGTTCCATATTACACAAATCATACACACCTCACTGTTAACATATGAAAAATTTGTTATAACAGTTATATAAATAAATCGTAATTTTTTTACTACCTGATTCAAATAAATAAACACAGTAGGTATATTGTAATAACGATATTGATACCATAATTCAATGTACACAAAAATTAATTCTTTTCTTGAATTAATTATATAATATACATATTTTTGATCATTATATTGTGTTGGATATATACTATTCAAACCTTTTTTTTATAATTGATCTTAGTCACGTCGTCTACCTGCCATTAGTTCGAATCTACATTGCAGGATGTAGGTAATTACATATATTTCATATTATAGTTTAACTTATTGTTTCATATATTCTGACTATTTATCTAAAATATTATAATTTATCGGTTATACGTTCATTTATTGTAATGTTTTGAGACGGTTGTTCTAGAATTTCAATTATTAAAGCATAACATTACCTAAGGAAACGAAATACAGATATAATAGTCATTGAGTAATGTAATGTAATTAAAGTTCAATCTAATATTTCTAGTATACAAAAAAAAATATGACGCAGGCTTAAAACCATGCAGTTGATGGCTTAAAACGATTAATTCAAAATTAAAATGGTATTAATAATCAAGAAATTCGCATATTTTTTTTTGCACAAGAACTGAATTTGTTTATGTGATTGTGTGAACATAAAAATGGTTATAATTTTTTGAAAAATAAACTCAGATATTTATTTTCTTCATACAGTTTATTAATATTTTCAGGGGTTATTAGGTACTTATTATGAAAATAATCATTACAAATACATTATAATTCATAATTATATAGAAACTATTTCAAGGAAATATAGTGCATGGATCAATAACTAGTTTTGTTTCAGTAAACTAAGATTTTATGGATAATTTTCTGATAAATTACTGTGCGGCAGCATACATTATATTTGATTAAAATATGATTTTTCAGATATTGTTATAAAAATTAAATAGACTTTCAATGATTAAATAATTTTCAAAATCATTATATCTTAAAATTAGTTTCAGAGGAAGTTGTCAACTGCAATATTAATCATACAATTATTATTGATATGATTATTATGTATAAACATTGAAGGTGACTTCTATAATATTTTTTTTATTTAAATATTTTATTGTGACTTTGTAACTCAATGCGATTTTTAATTTTATTTATACAGTCTAATCATATTTAATAAAAAATATTTTATAATATCAATATAACAATTAACAATCAAATAAAAGTTAGGTATTTTTTTTTATAATTTAGTATTCTGATAGTTATAATTAAATATTTATAATCACAATCATACATCAAACAAGTGGTGGTCATTAAATTATGTGTAACCACATAGTATGTTCATATTGAGGGAACCGATAACATCATATAATATTGCAAATATTGATCAGAATAAATTGTATACACCGTATTATTGTAATACAATTTTATCTATATCAGTGGTTCTCAAAATTGCTGTTTTAAGGGAATCCTGAAGTTGCTAAACTAAAATATGGGGAAATAAAAAAATAGGAACATTAGTAAAAAAAAAATATGATAAGTGATGACTATTACACTACAATTAATAATATTACATTTTGATATCTTCGTCTGTCTATGGAATCACTTGATCACTCTTTTGGAACTCTTATGCTCAACTGTGCACAGTTTGAGAACCACCGATCTTTCTAATTATGCTAATCTACATTGATATTTTGTCAGAAACACACTATTCCACGGGTACCGATCGGTTCAGAATATTATTATACCATCATATCATTTTTAACTATCAAACTGTACTCATTTCTTCGGGTTTTTCGTACTGTGTAAAAAAAAATATAAAATAATAATCATAAATTAATTACGATGTACAGATTATTGTTGTTTGTAGTTTTCTATAATGTGTTTTGTATCACCACTGAAAAAGTCGAAACTAACGTCTATCGGTAATATTTATAACAATATTTTTTATTATAATATTAAATGAATCAGTTTATTTCGTTTAGAACATAGAACCGCACCAATAAAGTACCTAAAAAGCACTCAAGTAAAAAAGAGTTTTATTTTTTTAGCATACCATTAGTTAGACGAAAATCACCGTTGGAGATGTTAATTAAAGATCCCCAGTACACGAGGAAATTGAATATTCAAAAAACTCACCCGACGAATGAAAATATCACACTATACAAATATTTAGACGTAAGTGTTACTACGCATTGTTACGAAACAAATTAAAGTGCAATATTTAATACAGAATAATGTAAAAATGAAATAATTTCTGAAGTTGCGTTAAAAATATAAATCGGAGAATATAAATAAAATTGTTTTCTTAATTACTTTTGAACTGCATTAATTGTTTTAATATAAAGATGATGTTGGCAAACCTAAATTAAAAATGTAAATAGCTTGCGCTATAATACAGTTTACTATAATTTCGAAATCTTAAATTATTTTTGTGATATTATTATAGTTTTATAAAATAATTCTTTGAAAAATACTTTACAACGAATAAAATTACAAAAAGATTTTATAATGTCCAAACAATTATTGCTTCTTATTCGTCGGTAAAATAATATTATCGAATAGTAATATTTTTTAGTATTATAAGAAGAATACGAACAAGTCTAATTATATTACTATACAAATTAGTATAATAGTATGCAAAATGTGTCTTCATCATTAACTATATCATAATATTAGCTTATTTTCAAAAATTGAAATATGTTATGAATCTTTACATGTGTACATTATAATAATATATTGTAATTATTTATGATTCATTTGTTTAATTCTGATGTCATAGCATAAAACGTTGAAAATTCAAAAGTTTTTTTTTTTTGACTGCTGCTAAAAAAAAAAATATATTCGGATTAAATTTTGATTGATTAGAGTGAATACTATGCAAACATATTAGTGGGCAAGCCGGGACAGCAATTCACTATGATTTTTGACACTACATGGGGCGACATGTGGTTACCGTCAAAACTATGTTCAAGAAAAATGTATCCGATTTGCTGTAAGTCCTCAATACTTGATTCATATAATATTATTTAATAAGTAATATTTTAAATCTACTTATAATAATGTTTTGGTGTTCTTTTTATACAATATTATGTTTCTCAAAGTCGCTAAACACTTGTATGATCCGGATGTTTCGTCGTCTCACAAGTATATCGATCCAGCGCCGTTTAATGTGGACGGATTAGTAGGAAATTTAACATGCGACACCGTTGTGGTAAGAAGTTATGATTAAGACATATTAAAATAATTATGAATGTATGATGGAATACCCAATGCCATATTGCTTCCAAGTCATAATACCTGTGTCATTATGCTGAATAATAATGCGTAACAGAAATTAAATATTATGTGGAAGTTAAAAAGTATAATAAATATTATAACAAATTAATTAATGAACGGATGACCATATTATTTTATTTTACGATTTTTCCACTCGCCACGCCCCAAATCACCTTGAAATTATGATAAATTGCGTTGTTTAAACTCGATAGCTTAAAGTGTTTGGACTGTCAATATTATTCTTTATTTTATCGTAAATTGATTAATAAACCTTGGTGGTCGAAGTGTCACCGTGAAAATTATTAGGTAGGTAATTATTTAGGTGCATGACCTAAAGTTAAATCCCTAAACCTCGTCAAAATCTGATTGTACCATAATATGCGATAGCTTAGGTATTTTAATAGAAATTAACTACATCTCCGTTCTCCAAAGTCTGCACATTTAGTACGAGCAAGACAAGTATGAAGATGAAGAAAAAAATATTATTATTTAGTTCAAACTTGGTAAATTATCTTTCACTAGTTGAGTTTGAATTTTTGAATTTTTTAGATACAGCGTGGAGTGATGAATTATGTATTGGTTAGGTTAGGTTAGGTAATGTTTTTTTTTCTGTCACTTCCTTTTTGAGCAGTAAAAAGTATTTTATTTTAAACATTAATTGCGATTTATGGTAGATAATTGGAAATAATAATATAGATTATAACTTGGAAGAAATGAACAAAATAATTCCCGGTTCTTTTCAAAATTATTTACAAAACAAATTTAATTAAAAACGTTCTATAAAACCTATAAAGTTTCTTTGATGTGATTCAAAAATAAAAAAATTTAAAACCTGAACTATTTCATCTAATGTTTTTTTCTAGCATATCGTATGCATGATTACAATTTCCAAATATATTTTGAAATATTTGAGATATTCTCAGATTATTTTTCGTTTTTTTTTTTTTTAATGTATGTATACGATAATATACGATATGATACGATTTTCGTTTTGTAAAAAGAACTTGTGAATTTAAAACAGGATTTTTATTTTTTTAGAAATAATAAACAAGTTTGGAATAAAGCCACACATTTTTTTTCGTTTTTGTAAGTTAATATTTTTACGACATATTTGTGCTAAAATAAGCGCTGTAAGTTATTTTCATACTATTCAAAAATGATTCATCATAGAAACTTAAATATTCAGCACTTTTACTTAAATTGTAATTTTCAATACAAAATATTCTTTTTTCTTAATATTCAGACTAATTTGAAATGTTCGAATATTTTTAGTTTTTTATGTATTGAATACCATTTTAAGGCTGGATACTGGATACACAATTTAAATATGTAATACGAGATTCCTAGTACAATTTTCTGACAGGAACGAAAATCTCATAAACACATATTACGTATTCACAATTTTTTGTATACACATAATATAACAAAGTACATCTTCTTACCAAATCGGAGATTATCATTAATTATCATCATCTTTCGACTTTTGTTTTTATTATTATTCAATATACGTTTTCGAAGGGCTTATAACCGTTCATCAACAAATTAATTAATATTTGCATTAAAAAATTTAATTTTTCTAAAATATTTCGATTAATTTTGCATATTGTAAAACAGACCTATGTAATTACATTATTATCATTCTGTGGTTACTCGGTATTGAATCAAAAGTTATTAATAATGATCGATGAGATCTTATGATAAATATAGAATTGTATTTTAAAATGTTCATACAAATGGATGCTGACAACCGATTGCACTCACAGACGTTTTTCATAACCAATTATTTATCATAGAATTTACTCAATTATGGTGTAAAAAACTCCTTCTTTTCAGCAGAGTGACTTTCTCTGATTTTTCATTTTCATTTTATTTTTCTCAATAATTAAATAAACTAAATGTTTATTTGATTGATTCCGGCTTTTGGAGATTTTTTCATGATTCATGGCACTATTAATTTATCGTTAAGTTAGTAATGTTTAAATATTAATAATACGATGTATTTAAAACTATAATAGTTTTGAGACTAAAATTATTTTATATAGGTACATCAATAAATTATAATAATATTATGTTAGTAATAATTTATTCGTCAGTTCTATGCTTTTATAATGTATTGCTTTATCTAGGATGGATAATGTTTAGGAATTAATCAGATTTCTAACGCATTAGTTAAATTATAATTTATAAATATAATAATTGGAACGCTTTAAATAGTTTCGAGTGTAGTAATAATATTATTATTAATTATACCTATTACAGTATTATTATTATTTATTTATGATACAGCTCATTACTATTTTTCGAAGTTTCCGAATACCTATAGGGTGACAATTAGGGTTTAATTTTCAATTAATATAGATATTATATTTTTTTAGATGGGTCATTTAAATGTAAGTGATTTAATATTTGCTTCAATCAGTGAGATACCGAGCGTTCCGCAATATCAAATGATGCACGCCGATGGGTTAATTGGTTTAGGATACAACACCTTAGCTAGAACGACAACCCAACCATTTTTTTATAAGTTACTGGAGGATAAAAAAATTTTGAAACCAATCTTCTCAGTATATATGAATCGGTAAGAAACAAATTGTGTTTGATATAAATTTAAATACGCAAGATACATAGCAATAATATAGTGGAAAAAGATTTTACAAAATATGAGTGTGAGTAACAACAAAAATATTATAAGTTATAACTCATTGTTGTGCTAATTTAGAAATTTAAATGCATGTAAGTAGTTGGCATAATTTTGAGTGGATGTAATCGAAAATTTAAAACAAGTAGGTGTACTGATTGCGACATTAGAATTCTGAATTTGAATGCAGCAGGGCAAGGAACAAAATTCTGAAAGTAAATGTGGTGTGTTTGCAAATTTCGATTGAATTATTTTGAGCCTTCGTTTTGTGCAGTCTTTCACTGGGGTGGTTTTGAAGCTGGCGAGAAACGATAATGAAGTCAGGGTTTTCGGAGATTATAGCCTTGTTATCAGCGCAGTCGGCACCCAACTTCTGTAGCGTGATGGGTTGATCAAAAGTATAGATATTATGGAGTAAAGGGATAGAATAGCACCATGAGCAACACAAGCGGAGATTTTGGATATACTCAGTGCTTGGAAAGTTCATGTTAAAAAGTAATTAGTTCACGTCCATGTTCATATTGTTATAAGGAACTGAATAGTTTCTCGTTCCTGACTTCAACATACGAACTTTAGGTCCTTTCGTTTCTAAATAAAGAACGTTTTTAGCTCCTCAATAGTTTGATAATTGATTGTTTGAATATAATTATTGCAGTGATATATTGTTTAATTATGTAGTTTTTTTGTTTTTAAAATGTTTGATTATTGTTTATTTCATAAAAGTTACTGATAAAAAAAACCATTATTGACTCACCATTTAGTAAAATTTGTCAGTATTATTGTTCATTGCCGTATTTAGGTTTAAATACATCATTAAAATCAAAATACAAATCATAAAAAGGTTTGCTCTAAAAATTGTTTAAATTCCCTATGTCATAAGAATAAATAAGCAATTAATATCTTTCAAGTTCCTCTAAAAAGTGAATGAAAGTCCAATATGTTTCTTCACAAGAAAAAGAAACTACGTATTAGTTAAATGCATGAAAAATCATTCCAAATCTTTTTTTCCAAGTATTGGATATTTTAGAGTCTTTGCTGAAACGATTACTATACTAAAATATCCATCAGAAATATAAGATTTATTGAAATTAGACTGAATGCAAACACTTTTTTTTAGTTTGAACAAGAGCCCGTGGTGCAATACCCTGTAAAATGCAATATGCATATGATATATTAAGGAATCGACATGTGCAATAAGATATTTTTTTAAGTGCATAAGAAATTGCATCTAAAACTCCTTGCACTTGGTGTATTGTTGAGTGGTTTGACAGAATCCGAATTAAGAGTCGGGAAGCATGGAATTTTCAGTTAAGCTTGGTAGAATTTATTAGAGTAGAGAGTACCTAAATAAGCCTTGGTAGATTTGTTTATATTTACTTGGTATGAATAGAAAAAATAATAATGTATTATAGTATGTAATATTATATTGAACCCATTGAATGCGAGTTTATATTTCCTAACATAATAAAATATGTTTAAGTTTTATAAAATAGTTGATAAAAGTTTTAATTTAAATATTGTTTTAGTACCATGATTTACATTGAGATTTGGTGAATAATATTGTAAATCAATTGATGTTGTGTAATATTAATAGGTTATTAATATATGTACACATTGTGAGTATGTTCCACATTATTACATTATTTTCGTATGGCATTGCCCTTTGAAGTCGAAAATTCAGTTAGAGCCACAAACAGGCATAAATCACTAACGATTTTTCTCTTGTATATTCATTGCCAGAGGCTAGTTGGACAATTTCTCCAAGAAAATTATAATAGATCAGTTGTATAATAATATATGCATTAGAAATATGAATACATTGATATAAATAGTATGAAGATTAAAATATAAAAACGTATAAATACTAAATAAAACTTTAAGAAAATATTACTTTATAAAAAATAAAATATATTAATATTCAAGCAGTTCACAAAATGTAATTGCACATAAATAGGGCGATTCCCCGAACACGCACACCTCGGATATTGCTTTTAATAATACATTTATTCTAATTTTGTCTTTCAAAATGTTCAAAGGTATGTTATTAAAAATCATATCTCTTAATACTTTTTTTTTGTTCAAAATTAAATTTACACACATCAACGTTCAACATATTTATTAAAAAAAAAATCATCTGCTTAAGAATAATTTACTTTAAAAAGGACAGTTCTCATTAGAAAAGTAAATTATGTACTGAAACAGGAAATTCATTTCTTAAATGGAATGCAAATGGAACGCATACTTCTATTTCTAAAAATATTTGATTTTATTTGTGAATATGCTTGAAAATTCTAAAAATCAGAATTTCATTGAACGTATAACTAAAGAAGAATATAGGTGGTGAGCATGTCTGGTAAACCACTATTTCTATATTTATTATTCATAATGTAAAGCTTCAATAGATGTTAGTTACCTATGAATTATAGAATATGCTAACACTTATCAAATATGAATAATGTAAAGCTATAATAATATGTGTCCGGAAAATACAAATTAAATTGTAGAAAAAAGTGATAATAATTGCAGATATGAGTTGTTTCTGAATCAGTAACCTTTTGAATAAAAAATGTAGCTATCAAACTCTAGTATTAATATATTTTATACTTTATACAATTATAATTGTATTTCAACAGGGACGCGAATACAAATAAAGGAGGAATAATATTTCTTGGTGGAATCGAACCAAAACACATTAAAGGTGAAATAACCTATGTACCTGTAACAACAAAAAAATACTGGCAAATTCAAATGAATCAGTAAGTAATTCTACTCAATAAAAAAAAATCAGCTTTTACAGGACTCAGACAAATCGTATATTTATTTTTTATTTTTTTATTCATATTATTCGTACATTGTATACACAATACACACATCAAACACAATACAATAAATTCAACATCATACTGGTTTAAAGCCACAGATATTATATACACTGTTCAACTATTTTTTTTCCTGTAAGTGATGAAGAATTAGATGCCTTTTCAAAAATATCGAATGAATGTAAATCGAAATTCAAAACAAGTAGTTTTTGTGTTATTAAACTTAGTGTACTTATGACAATAGGTTTGGAAAATATGGAGACTACTACAATGGTTTAAAAATGTTAGTAACTATTATAAACATACAACTTAAAAAAAATTAATAAGTGATAAAATGTTCCTTATAACTTATTGTTCATTGAAATTAAGAAAAAATGAGCTTAAATCCACAATCATTGTTTTACGAGAGTCTGAATTTCAATTTTAACAAAATAAGTGAAAATCACGAAAATGTGCGAATTATCTTAAGTTAGAAATTCATAAAAAAATTTCTTTTAAAATAACAGATTTGAGACTTGTATACATGATTCCTCCCAAGTTTTTTTACTTCTATTGAAAAAAAATGTCATCTAGAAAGTCAATTTAATTGTCATGAGAGTTTGAAGTTCAAGTTTTGTAACACTGGTAACCCGCCGATACCTCGTTTAACGATTTTCTTATTTTGTTGCAATTAAAAAAATTAACAACTTTATTTACTTAAAATTCACAAAAAACATTTATTTTATCATTTCCTATACTTGAAAAATGTTCAAAATATTTTGACTCATTTTCAGCTGTTCACTGACATTTTCAGCTTTTTTTTCAATTTTTTTGTTCTGTGAAAAAAATGTTATTTGCTGGGACAAAGAGCTTGAACATTTTATATAAGTTTCTTGATATATTGTTACAACAACAGTTAAAAAATAATAAAAAATCATTGGCACTGTTTTTTGTATGTTCAAATTTGGTCGAAGTTACATATATAATAACCAAGAACAATGATTTATGTTATTTTGTTAAACATTTTATTCATCGGTACTTTTAGGTGATATTATTATATTTAATATACAGAATGATATTTAAAATGAAATTGTTTTGGCAAAAATTAATTTAACCTACTGGAGTACTAATGCCTAGTAATAAAATTAATTACTTAAATCACAATAATATAAACAAATATACTAAGTAATAATATAGGTTGACAGCCCGTTTTTGCTCAGAATTGTTTTTCGTGTACAATGGTGTATCAGTAAATTTGACACCATCCATAATAGTGACCCACTTGTAACCTACTGTGCAACAGCACGACATCTACTTACCCGCATTTTTTAATTGAATACCTAGTCTATGATTATAATCATATTATAACATTATATAATTTTAATGTTGTAAATAAATTTAGGTTTTCAATACAGCAAAACAAAACAAATTCAGAGAAATTTTGTGGTAATCAAGGATGCCAAGTGATATTGGATACGAGCTCGAACTCAATCGGAGTGCCTAACGAATACGTACTAAAAATAAACAATATAATAGAAGCTACTAAGTATTTATACAACAGATACGAGGTAATTATAATTAAAAATTTCATTTTTGGGGAGTCGTCTATAATCCCTATAGTTAACGTTTCGTTTATTTAGTGCTGATCCGTTTTCGATGAGATGCTAACATATTCATAAAACAAAGACATTGAGATTAGAATTCCTCTTAACCAATTATATTTACTCATATCACATTACTCGTGGATAAGACGAAACGCTTCCCTGATAAAAACATGAAAATAATATAATACTTGGCATGTTTTGAATATAAATAAAACTGGATTGCAAACAGATATTATTGTGTACCAAAACATGCCTTTATTTTGTCCGCGATACTGATACTACTCTAATGATAAAAAATTGTATACTATCTTTAAATATGTTTTGATTTCTTGCATAGTATAATAATATAAACTTATAATTTATTATATACGGGATAATTTCTAAATCATGCTCACAATATTTCTGTGCTTAATTTATGCATAATATATTAACATTACTATTTTAAAATACACATTATAATACACAAGACATTTTTTAATTATTGGAATATTTTGTACAACTATATTTTCAACCTGTGATAATACAAACTTCTGTTTTTTTTTTTCAAATAATTTCTTAATAATTTATTTTTATTTTTAATAGTTAAACAAATATTTTTTTTGAGAATTTTGATATACTTTAATCAAAATTCAAAATAGTAGTTTTTGAGTTATATAACGTTGTGTACTCAGGGTAATATGTCTTAAGTAATATTTTAAGTACCTATATAATAAGCTTAGACAGTCTGAAAAAACTATTGACTTATCAATATAAATAATTTGTAAAAATGATCCAAGTTTAATAAATACTACATTTAATCTACATTTAGTATTCATTTTTTTAAAAACCGTTTTCAAGGGTTACAACCCTTAGTATAAATAATTTAACGACCCAGAAACTACTCATTAGAATTTCGATTTAGATACCTCAACATTTTCGAAGAAATCGGAAAAATTTGGTCTTCAGATATAAGTACCAGTAGAATTCCGACTATCCGGACTAATTAATGTCAAGGGTGGCCCGGATAAGCAAATATACAGATGATTTGGCATATGACATATCGAATGTTATGTGTATGTAATATAGTTTTTAATTTTTAAAAATTAACAAATCATTTTAGTATTATATTTAAATGAAAACGAAACGGCGAAATACGATTACGATTAATCACGATTCACGAGTCATCAAAAGACCAATCTTTTTTTTCGTCCGGTTAATTTTACGTCCGGTTGATTGGCGTTCGGATAATCGAAGTTCTACTATAATTAAAAATTCTAAAAATCAGAATCTAAATGTATGTACTATTTAAAGGACAAAAATGGGAAAGAGCATGCTTGATAAATCACACTGTATCCTAGAATTAAACCTCCACTAAATTTGATTTTATGATCCCAACATCTTAAAACTTAAAATAAATAATAAATAGGTAAATTAAAAAGCTGTAAAGTAATCCTAAAGAAAAAAATAACAACTAAATGACCAATTAAAACAGTTTTTAGAATTATTACCCTATTAATTGATCAATTTTCATTAACTATCAATCTGTGATGGATCATTTATAAAAGCAACAAAGCACTTTAAGCCGAAAAACCCGATATTGTTCGTGGCGTTTGTTTAATACGTCATGTAAATGTTACTAATAACGATAGGCGTTGTACGCACACTAGTACATTTTGTATACAAAATTGACAATATTGACAAAACTTTAAAGTCTTGACCACATTAACTTATTTGATATAAATGATCATACATACTTATATTTAAAGGTACCGTGTTCAAAAGTGAACAAGTTGCCAAAAATCACTATCAACATAGGTTCTCGAGATTTTCGTATTAGTGGAAGACATTACATCCAAAAAGTAAGTAAAATACACATAATATAACAATCTTTAATGTTTCGACCAGATTTAAAAAAAAATTTAAATGCCATACTGTTTAGATGGAGAATGAAAACGGAACTGTTTGCATATCGGCGTTTTGTGACTCCGGATTATCCGATGGACTTTGGTCATTAGGGGGTGGATTTTTGTCAAGTGTTTACACTACGTTTGATTTGGAAAACAATAGAGTCGGAATTGCTAATTTAGGATAGAAAGAACACAATTTTTAAACATCAAAATGGCATGAACCATAGTCACAACTATGTAGGTGCCTATATATTACATACCTTTATTTGAATTGTATTTCATATTAGCACATTAATATTGAATATCTAGTACCAAACATATTGATTGTAAGATAAATTTTACATTTAATTATACATTTATAAATAAACAGTTAATATAAGATATTATTATTTTTTGAACTTGGTGAACTCGAAATAAATTCATATAGCACAAAATAATATGCTCCTTGGCGATTGATAGTAACAACTTTCAAAAGAAATTGTTAATATTGTATATTATATTGTCTGGTGAAGACGTACAAAATAATGTAAAATGTAAATAATTCCCAGTCAAATTTTAAATAATTATATCCGGAAAATATCTGAAGTTTATCTATGTTGAATGTAAACGTATCGATTATAATTTGACATGAATATTAAAGTACTTCATTCGCATAAACGAAACAATATTGTTTCATTAATATTAATTATTCACAGCTGAATTTTTTATTTTCAAACGATTTTAATTTAGTGTTAGAAATAATCTACAAGGCCAATCAAATAAAATGTATGTCATAAAAAAACGAATTCATTTTTATTCAATTTCAGTTTAGTAACTTTTAATCATGTTATGCATCGGTACAACTTGAAACCCATGCTCACACACACATAGAACGCGTACACTTTATTATACATCAACACTTTACGATTGATAAATATACAAGACGGATAGAAGCGAGGTAGTTGAATCTTGAAGTAACGGGATAATGGTGCGAATAGCGAAAACACCCGCTTTTTTGGAGTCATAAACAGTCTAAACTTTTTACACACGTTATATAATATTATCTTATATTTAAATGCACGTTGTAGACGATGCTAGGGAAATTTAAGATTGGCGACATCTGGGTACACCATCTGCTTCGGTGACTTTTTAATATTTGCTTTATATTATTATACCCATTTTGAAATTGTTCTGTTGAGCAGGTACCAATATAATATATTCAACGATCACTCGATAACTTGATTTGAAAAAAACAAGTGTAATTGTAAGCGCATTATTATAATATCCCGAATTCTTCGGTAAAAACAAAGCAGTTGCTATTATTATCAGTATAATTTTACTATAATTTTTTCGATGATCCGAGCAGAATCCAGATATACATATTGTATATTTCATACTGGCAATAACGGTTTGATTTAAAATGGGTCTGATTTCGTCGTTTATGGAAATATCGATAGATTGTACATAATTTAGTATTCAAAACAAACTTTTCAAAAGAAAATTACTTAGGACAAGTAAGAATAATGTCGTATAACGATAATTCAAACTTGAAAACTTATTCTAATTTATAATATTTGACCCGAGAAAAAGCTTTTTGTGTGAACAAACGTTTATTTTCATTTATTTTATACGTGTACTACACTTTTGTGAAACTTTTTTTTTATTAGTTTGACCTGTTTAGACGTAAAAAAAAAGAATGCCACAATCACTTATTACAACAACAACAAATGTTCGCGGAATACATAAATATATATTTTTTCATCCGTGCAAAACAAAAAAAAATTGTGAGGTATTTACGTTCCCCTTTTTCCGAGAAAAACGGATGGTTGTTTCTCATCCGGCACAATATTAGCTCGTTCGTAACAAAATTAATTCACGTAATTTTACTTAAGCATAGAATTGTATTATTGAATTTTAGATACGTGAGGGTCGTTTAGTATCTTGACCATCGGAACATTTGAAAAGTTATTAATTATATTTCATATTTCTTGACCATGCAGCTAATAAGGACATCATTATGATGCATTTATTTTATATTCCTCTGATTTTCACAGCGTCTGTATAAACAAAACGTATTTTTAAAGTTGATTAAAACATAAAGAGTTTTTTTGAATAAATAGTTCAGTGACTGTAAAATGAAAAGATGATAATTAATATTAAATATTTTGTATAAAACCAAAACTTAAATAAAGGTCGTGCCGTGAGCAATAAATTATTTATAATACTTGTGACGAAAATAGTAGACAATCGAACAAAATGGCAATAGTTACTTTTTAATACAGTTAGGTTAGGTTCGATTAAACATTGTGTTGCATGTATTATTATTCAATATGTGGACCATATTTTTTTCATTAATTTGTTTTTACTAGCTACTACTATAAACTACTATAGCTCCACAACTAAAGTAGTACCAAGAGATGCACACAGTTTGCCACAAATAAAATACATGAACATAATATAGGTAGATAGTAATGAAGTAGTATAATAGGTAAGTACAAATATTTAGATAAAGTGATTTAACGTGGATAAGAATATACAATTTTGAATCTTATCATGTTATTAGCTTATAAATTGAAATAAAACAATAACAATATTGATGGGAAGATGTGCAAATATACAGATAATTTTAATTGACCTTTATTTATTAAAGTCGTTGACGAGGACACGAGGGGCTTTATGATAGCAGTGAACTCGGAGATAAAAGAAGAAAGAATGTTTCAATGTACGAAGAAAAGTGGTGATAATGAGAACCATATTAGACTACGTATCTCTACCACAATCATTGGAAAAAACGACCAAATCATTCGTACTACATAAAAATATTGGTTATGAGAGTATCACCTAGATATAACGACGAAATAAATATATGTGATATGCATACCGAAATGTACCTAAGTGCCAGTATCCATATTTTATCAATTTTATAGTAATTATTACACTGGAAACACATAAACACCAAACGAAAAAAACCAAAAAAATATCGGTTAACTCATCATGCTTACACGCCCAATATATTACGGCACCTTTTACAATTAATTAGGTACGCGACAGGAGGTCGGTAGTCAGACACCACTGTTGATCTGCATGTTGTGCGAATGAGTTGCCAAAATAGGGTTTTGTTACTTTTTTTATTGTTGTTGTGTTGGATTCCGACTTTTCTCCTAACAGTAAATGTTACAATAAATGGCGAAGTACTTGTATAATACTTTAATAATTTAACTTATAAAGTATTACAGTCGAGTTTTGATAGATCGAATTTTTTTAAAAATTATTTTTAAATTGAGTTTGAAGTATGTAACTAGAATTTTTTTTTATTCTTCTCAATATCCGAGTTATCGTGACTCGGCTATATTATTTTTGACGCCCCATTTCCAAAATACGTACACATACTTTAGGATAATATTCAATGTTCGTATACCTACAATGGTTACACGCTCGAATGACATGCGGTATAATAACTATTGGAATCCAATTCGATATCGCATACACTGCGTATCACACGGTGGCTACACTCAAACAATACATTCATAATATGACGTCTACAACATCGGACTGTCTAGTTTTCGTTGAAAATAATCATAACCATTAGAATTCATATTGACAATATTCAACCATGCGGTATTATATAATATAGATACCTACACTGGCCACGACTACCGGTGTTATATAATTAAATATGACGGCCAGTCGAGCGCACTATCGGCGACTAACTATAATCAGTATATGATATTATGCGAACAGTTATTCAACACTGCGATTTTAATAACCAACAAGTCCGGAAACGATGTCACCGTAGTTCGGTTCTGTTGCCGACGAATCAGTGTTGCAGTATTTCAGTTGCACTGATTTAACAGTTCTGATGTGTAGGGATGAAGTCAGCAATACCCTGGTGGCTAGGCATCTGCATAATGCTAAATCGATTTACCAAACAAGTTCATTATTTCTCACCCCTCCCCCCACCCTATTTGCTGTTAATTAACTAGTTCAAAATCTGATCGTTGGAGTATTTAAATATACTTGAAGACCACTTTTTCGAATCCTTGATTTTTAGTACCGCAACTTAAAGAATGTCCTAGTGTGGCGACACTTAATTTAGTTTTCAAATGAGAACGAGGTTTTTTTACTGTAAATTATTTAGTGGATAGTATTTTTCAAAATGTTGACATAAGTAAGAATCTTTTAAATTTAAGCTAGAACTAGTAGTTTCTCAGTTTTAAAGTGTGAATTCAAACAATAATTGTTCTTAAAAATGGATTTATAAAAATATAAAATATAAGTGCCCTTGGATCTACAATTACTTTCTATTAAGTATTATATTTTACTTAGACAATTTTGACAAATTATTATTTATTAATGTCTATAGATTAATATTAATCACTTTAATTTTTAACTCTTTACCGCAGACTTAGGTATACGTTGGAACTTTAATAATATCTCAAAAACTAGTCGTTTGATTTGGATTTTGATACGTCAAAATGTTGATACCTAAAAATAATTCTCTAAATATTTTATATTACAAGGTGGAAGAGAGTACCGTTTTAAAAACTCAAGTTTGTAATTTGTATATCTACAGGACATCTCTTAATAGTAGTACGAAGACCTCAAAATTCAAAAATATTGTATTTATATCTAAGTTTAAAAAAAGTATTAAATTAGGGTTTGAATAACTACATTATTGAAATGGAAAACGCTGGTTAGCGATTTTGGTAAATCATTCTTATAGAATATATACTAGCCATGACTGGTATCGTTTTCCAGTCAATCTCCCCGTATATGATCGCATAATATGATCGCAACACAATCGTGGAGTATTTAAACGTAAATAATCGTGCAACATGCGTGTTTATGTAAATATATAATAATGGGTTCGTCTTTTTATACTCGGATGTTTGGTGTGTCGTGTTTCAGAGTGTAAGTTTTAATAAAACAAATGTGTCTACACTTCACGAACAATATGCTTGAATGCCTTTTATTTCACATTTTCACTTTTATTTTTAATTTGTCAAATGTACCTACACTTCACTTAGTTATATTATGCATAACAATATTACTACTATCCATGTATATTTTAACAAAATATTATACTTGAGATAGACATTCTATCATCACGTCGTCTAAATCACGAAACACTTATTACAAAAATAAAAAAATACTGTGTAAGTTCTTCCTCAAGTATTGCTTACATTTGTAATTATTACTGTTTACAATCGAAGATTATTAAATGATTTAAAGGCTTTCGATGATTGGCGTTTTTTATTAAATTTTTTGAATCAAGTTTTTTTTTTACAAATTTATAAATGTATTTATTCTAATAACGTTTTGACAAAAACGAGACAAAAAATGTATGTTTCTGTGAAATCGCTCGTTATATATAATTTTTAAACGTATTTAATAT